CTCAAGTTCCAATAGCGGTTGGTAGATCTTCTAAAATGTCAATATGCTAACAGTGAAATGATCTTTTTAGCGTACTCTAAAAAGAAGGGATCTTTCTAATCATGATAATCCACAGCTAATATTGGATTATTATTATTTTAATTAAAGTGATATCATAAATAAATATATTTATTTAATATTTTATTTTGTGCTTTCTTGGAACTCCCAAGCATGCGCAAAAAGCCCCCATAGGTCATATGTTTATTTATTGTTTTTTGTCATAAGCTATAGATATCAACTTACATCCCATTAATTATTTGGATTTGCTATCTCATCAACTTATTTAATGATTAGGAAAGCATATTTATTTGTATTATTATGTGACTTAAGCAAGAGAAAAAAATATGACAATGCATTTTTGAATTATTAATGTGAAAAAAATCTATACGAAAAAGTTTTAGAAGTTAACTTATTTTGAATCTCAAAGAACTTTTTTTTATAAAACACAACTCTTTAAACTAATAGTGAACTTTCTTTTTTTACATATTTATAAAAAAATTAGTGTATTTTGAATATATATATATATATATATATATATATATATATATATATATATATATATATATATATATATATATAGTACTTCCTCCGTTCTCAAAAACACTTTCTCTTTCAGTTTTTCCACTTCCAACAAAACACTTCCCTTTTCTATTAAAAAACCACTTTTACCCTTACTTTTTCATACCCTATCTATCACATCATACTTTTTCTCTAATAATCTATCCATCACATCTTACTTTTACCTATCACATCAGGTGCAAAATTGGAAATCAACTATAATTTAACACTTCCTTATTTTTGCCCCAAATCCAAATGGGAAGTGTTTTTTCAAACGGAGGGAGTAATTTTTATTTTTTGATTCTACACATTTACTTAAGATAAGTTGCATAATAGTATTTATTCATATATCGTAAAGTAAAATGAGACAAAAATGAGATGGAGAGAGTATTTTTTTAAACTGTTTATGGTCATGCATATGTAAAAAATTTAATTTAGTAATAAGCCTCTTGATTTTCTCTAATAAAAAAAGTTTCTCCTGATGTGACATTAAAAAAAACTTTTTGACTTGTAGCATATTTATTGGCCGAAGGGAATAAGTTACAATATGTTTTTCCACTAATTGGTCATGCCCAAGATAAATGGTTCAATGCCATAAAAAGCAATTCCTCCCTCCCATAATTTCTTTTTAATTTTCTTTTGGAGTATTTAAGTTGTCTCAAAAGATTCTTATAGTTTCCATTAGGGAAAAATTCTATTATCCATATTATTTTTCTTTTCTTTATACATGTTAGAATAAAAAATGGGCCACCTACAAGTTTGAGTTTTTTTCGTTGAGTTTGTTGACTTGGTATCAAAAATTTGTTGACCAAGAGATTACAAATTCAAAATTTATCGCCACTCCGTTTAAAAATTTAAAATTTCACGTGCAAAGCTCAAAAAAGTAACGCGTGCACGTGAAAACACATGTTAGAATATACTCCGTACTATATAAAAAAATGGATCACACCCACTTGAGCTTATTGATAAAAGTGAGAATATACAGTGTTTAAAGTAGTGCAAGGAATAAATGAGAGAAAAATTGTGAGTCACTCAAAATTTTCTAAAAAATTACAATTTTCGTCCCAAAAAAAGAAAAAAAGGAGTGTTTTTTTAATGAAATTAATTAATAAAAATAAAAAAAGAAAATAATGGCCCTGGTGAAAAAGGGGCAGCCAAAACCATCACCTCCAGAGTGGCAGATTACTGTCCATTGTGTTTGTGTGGCCCTTTTCCCCTTGCATTTACTTATTTGTCATTCCCCCAAAACTTTTTTATTTTTTTCCTCTTATTTTTTTCTCTTTTGGAAGAAATTCTTCTTCACCCCTCTTATTTTTTGTTTATATTTTATTTTATTCTACAATTAACCCCCCTTTTTTATTTTTCAAAATTAAAAAAAAAAAGGTCCACGTCCTACCACGAGAGATGATGGGGAGATCAACTTTTGGGCTGTCCATGTGGTTACTCAAATGGCTTCCCGTCCGAATTGTCGACCGCTTCTTGTTGGCGGTTTCCTGGCTGACCCTCGGCGACACCGCCCGCCTCGGCCTCCCCCGCCCACCCGTCGGCCCGTTAGAGCTCAAAAACATCTCCGGGAAAACCCCCGTCCTCGACGTCGGGACCCTCGCCAAGATCAAAACTGGCCACATCAAGGTATATATTTATATATTTCATCTCACGTCACGTCTTGTTTTCCTTCTAAATGTCGCACTAATAATTAAATAGATTGAATTGAAAAGAGGTCGTCATATATATGATTACTTCAATTACGCCATTCGAAACTTTCTTACGGAGTAAAGAATCAATTAATAACTGGAACTTAAACAATTCGTTCATGACATATATAGAATAACAACCATGCTAGTTTCATACCATAAGTGTATCCTAAGTTGTACATTATAGGTGTGTGCACAGACACTTCAGTATAAAACGCTAGTGCAATCAGAAATTTTATGCTATTATTTTGGGCACAATCTTTGGCGTACAATAGATTTATTCATAGAGAATAACTCCAACAATACCAAATCAATGTTGTAGAATATTATACTCCGTAGTAGTACTATATTGCAGCAATAATAATAATAGTATAATCTTTGAGTAGAGTCCAAATTAGAATATAGAGTATAATATGTACTTATATATCTTCCCCCCTTTTTTTTTATTTTAATATTATAAATAAGAGGGACTGAATCTCCTTTCTTTTCACTTTTTGCATTACGGCCATGCATGCATCACATGATGATGATGATGATCTTTTCTTAGTCACACTCAATCATTGCCCAATATATTGCACTTCCTATCCAATCACTACATACTATGCTTTTCATCAACTCCATTTCTGCCCAAACAAATCAAATGATCTAACACCACTTCTCTTTCTTGCTTCTTTTCTCACTCTTTTTTTCTCTCTTGGATCCATAGATTCCATTTTATCTTTGAATATTTTGTGGGTTTTTGGAACATTTTGGGGGAGTTTTGATTGAGTGTGACACATATGACAAGAGACTTGAACATAGATAAAAAGGATGAACCATGTGACCCTATCCTTAATCAAGCTAAGTCTTTCTCGACTACTAGTCGATCGACCAGACAACTATATATATTAGAGAAGTGAATTGAATTACTCCGTATGATATTAGTTTACCTATTTTCCAACATATATTTAGTGAAATCTATCCTTAGTGTGTGTATGAGTTCTCTACTACATGTTATCACCTTTTGTCACCGTTCTCAAGTGTTCATTATCGAAATTTGATGACACTTGAGAAAGTGTGTGATGATTTGTTTTTGGTAAAAGACATTTTCCACCCATTCTCATGTCTTTTATATCGAAACCTTTATTTTCTTATGTTATAATAACAAAAAGTAATTTTTTTTATTTTCCGAATTTTCAATCAAATACAAGAAAATAAATTTATTTTTAATACTCTGAGTAGAGAAAAATGGATGACACCCCATCCCCTCAGTACACTCAGACGTGGTCCAGACAGAACACTTGATGAGGAATGATAAATGAAGTTCTAATTTCATGTAATCAATATATAAGAAATGAGATCCGTCTCTAGCCCTGGCAAAAAATATTTATGCAGCATATATAAATCATCTTACGCTTATTTTTGTTAAGAGTCGAACCCGTCTAATATTTTTTCCGCACCTCCTATTGACCACTTAAACAACAGACTCGGACTCGGACAAGAGAGAAGAGAAAAGTGGCGGGAACCCCCAAAATGGGGTCTTGCTCTACCTAAACCACAAAGATCTTTGCGTGTTTGTTTCCCCATAACTTTGAGTGCATTGATGTGACCCACAAAAAGAAAAGTACTTTGTTATATTACTAGACAACAAATTCATCACATAAATTAACTAACCAACGTGGATTATTACATTGCTAATTAATTAACCCATGCAGGTTTACCCCGGCATCCAAAGGCTAAAGAGACACACCGTTGAATTTGTGAACGGGAAAGAAGAGCCCTTTGATTCCATAATCTTAGCAACTGGCTACAAAAGCAATGTGCCCTCTTGGCTAAAGGTACCTACCTACCTACCTACATATACTCTCTCTTTTTTTCGACGAAAAAGCGGTCATTTTGACAACGTCTTCCTCTGGTTTACAACGAGAATTTAAATTTTTCGCGACGTTTAGGATCGGGAGATGTTCTCGGAGAAGGATGGATTGCCCAAAAGGCCATTTCCCAATGGTTGGAAGGGAGAATGTGGGCTCTATGCTGTGGGGTTCACCAAACGTGGACTATTAGGTGCATCCATGGATGCCAAAAGAATTGCCCAAGACATCAAACGTTGTTGTCATCATACATGAATACATACATACATACATACATATATATATATATATATATATATATATATATATTGATATATATATATATATATATATATTAATATGTATGTATGTATTGGCCATATAAGCTACGATGATGACGAAAAGAAATACTATGTATGTACACACTTGGTAGGGTTTGACTGAGTTTGAGCAGGAAGAAGGGTCTTAATCATGATTGGTGAAGTTTTGTGGGTACAAAGTTGCACAAAAGAGAAAATATGGGGACTAAAACTGCAATTTGCCATACACCTTGTACATTTTTTTTTTCTCCTCTAATTTGATAGGTCGGGTAGACTCTTTTTTTTTCTATAAAGCTTTTTGTGTATTTCTATGGGGCTTTTTTTTGTTTTTAATTTTGTATTATGTCGTAGAAGAGCTCCATTAATGTAACACGTTTGCATCGCTTATCACACGTATCTATGTACTCCTTTCGTTTCAATTTATGCTTATTTTTATATATTGGTCTAGAATATGGACTACCCCTCCGTTCTCAAAAAGAGTTCCTACTTTGAAAAAATGGAAAAATAAGAAAATGTTAAATTGTAGTTGACTTCCAATTTTGCGCTTGATGTGATGAGTAAATGTAAGATGTGATGGGTAGATTATTAGAGAAAAAGTATAATGTGATAAGTAGGGTATGAAAAAGTAAGGATAAAAGTGGTTTTTTAATAGAAACTAGAAGTGTTTTGTTGGAAGTGAAAAAATGAGAGATGAAGTGTTTTTGAGAACGGATGGAGTATAATTTAGCAATACAATTTACCTTTTTGGAAATTACATCCAAATCCCTATATAAAATGATGCTAGTTTAACGATATTAATTTAGAAAAAGAAAAAGGTTAGAGTAAATAGAATTGCTCATATTTGAACAAAAGCTATATGTTTAAGTCTCATTTGCGTAAATTACCCTTAGGGTCCGTTTGGTATACGGAATTGACAGAATTGGAGTTGAATTAGAATTGAAATTCCACGGGATTCAATTCCATAGAATTGAATTCTGCCAATTACAATTCATTTTTTTCACTATCAATTCCAAATCTACATAATTTTTGTGCTACCAAACATCAGAGTTGGAATTAAAGTTCCCAATTCCAATTCCATAGTTTGAATTCCGTATACCAAACGGGACCTTAAAAAATTTAACGAAGATACTATGTAAAGAGAAAGATATTGATGCTTGACATTATGAATAGACTATACTAGTAAAAAAAAAAAATACTAGTAAATCAAAATAGATGGAGTATATAAATAATACTCTCTTGGGCCAAAAAGAATAGTCTTTACATGCAGCATATACACATTTACATGTATCATAATATTTTCTCCCTTCGTCTCACAAAATCTTTCCACTTAAGTTAAGTCACAATTACCTTTGTCATACATCTATGATGAGACGTTATGTTTGAGGCTATATTAACTAATAACACACTTTCAATACTGATGCTACTTCTTTTTCGGTGCTTCCGGTTACGTGACCTTGCCTTTGTTGTTGTCGCCGAATATTACACTTCATCACCATTATATTCTTAGACTTTAATTTATACTTACAAAATTAGATGCATCACTAGTCATGTGTTTAGAGCATCCGCTATCCACGTGCAGTACTGGTACTAAACTATACTTAGAGCTGATAAATTGGTCGGTCAGGTCGAGTTCGGGTTCGGTCACTTCAAGTTCAGGTTATCTCGGGTTTAGGTTGAGAACTGTATGTTCATGACCCAGTGTCGTTGGGTTCGGATCGACCCAACGGGTTATGACTTTGGTTTTTTAAATTTTTAAATTTACATTAATACTTAGATTTTCTATTAAATAAATTTAAAATATCATAAAAAATGTATTAAATCTATAACATTATTTTATTTTAAACTCTGAAGTAAATTTTTAGATATATAAATCAATATAAGGAATTTAAAAATGCTTAAGTTTTAGAAAAAGTAAGATAATTACTCCATATTCAATATCATTAAAATTCTGTCTGAAAATATAAATTTATAGACTAAAAACAAGTAGTAAAATGTATGATTTTGAAAAATTCTTACTTTAACGGGTCGGTCAGGTCGGTTCGGTTGTGTTTGATCCATATTTAGCGGGTCATTTTGGGTTCGGTCAACTTCGGGTTCGGTCATCGAAACCTTTGTTCAAAACTTAGTGTTTTCAGGTCGGATTTCGGGTCAAAAACAGGTCGGGTCATTTTTTTGCTAGGTCTAACTGTACTATACTTGATGTCTTCAACTAAAAGATGTGGTTGTATTTATTGGAAACGTTTAGGTGCCTTAAGTGTTGGGGGTTAGCACGTACATCATCATAAACAAAATCATGCATAGCCTGCCTATTTTTAGATATCATCCAAAGCTTAATTAAGCAAAAACTCATCTTGGGTTGTGTTCTATGATCGATACTACCTACAATATAATTGTGCACAACTCTAAAATCACAATACATATTATTAGAATTTTATATGAAGGAAAAATGCTGCGAAGCAGCGTTAAAGACATTGGTGAATGAAGAACGAGATGATCGACTTGATGGTTATAATGAATCCTGTAGAACATTTTCAGATTAAAGTTATTTTAGTGTACACTAAAATACTTTAATCGGATTAGAGATTAATCAAGAACAAGCACTTTGAAAATCCATTTCCTCAACCATACCTGCGAATATAAATATTTTAGAATCGAAAATCAATGAGCAGCATGTATGTTCACGTAAGGAAGCAAACTAACGTTGGCACAAAGAGGTTCTTGTGGTTTAGGGCCAATTTGGATGTTTATCCATACGTCTGAATAATTTTATGCTTTGGACTCCATTTACAAAATCTAAAAGATTTTCATAAAGTAATAATGTCCAAAATATAAAATTTCTCGTAAGACCCCGCCAGCTGTCACCCCTTGGCCTCCCTACCGAGCCTGCCGCCCCCGGATCAACGCTATAAAATTGTAATATCGTTGAACTAGTGTGCACTTCACACCTCTTAATTAACTCGTTTGAGAACGTCTAATCCAAATGTTGTTTGATCTACGTAAACCCAATTATATTATGCATAATAGGTAATCACACTAACATCACTAGCACATACTCCTTCCGTCCACAAATAATTCTCGTTCACTATTCACATATGGTCAAACTTTATTCACTTTGTTGGCATATTTTCGTCACTGATTTGATAAAATAATATAGTCATGTCGTCTTTAATTTTGTAGATCTTTTGATATATTTTTTTAATATGTAATTTTTATTTTTAAATTCTCCACCATTTTTCATATAAAATGATTTGAAAATAACTTCAGTCAAACATCGTAACGCGCAGCCGGAAGTTTATTTGTGGACGGAGGGAGTATATTTATATGGACTATATTATTGTCGCCCATGCCTTCCGAGAATTCTTATGATCCGTATGGTACACGGAATTGATGGAATTGGAATTGAATTGAAATTAAAATCCCATGGGATTCAATTCCATAAAATTGAATTCACCCATTCCAATTCATATTTTGCACTACCAATTCCAAATTCACATAATTTTTGTGCTACCAAACACGAGAATTAGAGGGTGTTTGGGAGTGATTAACTTATGGATAAAATGATTTCTATAAAACTTGAAAATAAAAACACCTCATACCTGCTTCTCTGAAACGATGTTCTATGTACAAAATAATGGTGGTGAAAAGCAGAAGGCTGATATGCCAAAGTAAAATCACTTATACTTAAAGCAAAAGCTAAATTATTAAAAGCAGCACATTGCCAAACACCCTCTTAGAATTGATGTCCTTAATTCTACTTCCATAGTTTGAATTCCGTGTACCAAACGGGGCCTTAAAGTTTCTAGGTTGTCTATGCTCACTAAATATTCTAGATTATCTGCATTAATCAACGTGACTAAACTGTAATTTCTAAATAATTGCTCGAATAACTTCCATAGATTTAAAGTTAATTTAATCCAACTCTCCAAATAAAGGTGTACTAACTTACTGGTCATATAACTTGTTGCATAACTCGGCCCTCAGAATCCATTCTCCCAATTAAGGAAGGCTCATTTACAACTCTGCATATTGTAACTAATAAAATTCCAAATATAAAAATCAACAATGAGTCCCTTTGGCTTCACAACCATCATGTATGAGTTTACCAAATCTATTATAGTCACTTTATTATTATTATTATTATTATTATTATTACTATTATTATTAATACTACTATTATTATTATTAATATTTCTATTATTATTATTATTATTATTTCTATTATTATTATTACTATTATTATTACTTTTGTTGTTATTATTTCTATTACTATTACTATTACTATTGTTATTATTAATATTTCTATTATTATTACAGTTATTACTATTATTTATAATAATAATTTTAAATTTAATTTTAATAGAATTTATATGATGTAAAATCTAATCAGATCAGATTATATTAGATCAGATCTTCAAAAAATCAGGTCAGATCAGATGAATGGAGCGCAACCTTAAATATATTTCATCTTATACTTCTTTCGTCCCATAAAACTTTTCAAAACCGAAAAAAGGCACCCCTAAAAATGAATTATTTTGATATTATTTTCTAATAATGACTCATCTACCATCATACACATTATATCAGATTTTATTGTTAAGTACGGGAAAAATTGGAAAATAATATCAAAATTATATATTTTTAAGGCACACTTTTTTTTCTTTTTGAAAGGTTTTATGGGACAGATGTATTAAAAAGTATTCCTAAAAAGTATGTTAAATCAAATTTAAAGAATCCCAAATTTAGAAAATAGATTTGGAGAACATGAAAGTTAAAGACCAAGAAAATCTTAATTACCTTCTTCTCCCATGAAAGGTCAAAGTTATAAAGAAGTCTTAGTCCACAGGAGACTTAAGACAAAGTAATTAGTCCCATTGCCGCATTTCTTAAAGTGTGTGAATTAAAGATTAATTATGTGGTGTTTAAGATTGATGATCATTGAGATGCTAATCGAATTACATGTAATGTTTAATACTTCCTCTCTTCTCAAGAAAATGCTATATTATCCAAAACGAAACAAGATTTTAAGTGATTTTAATTCATTTTATATAGACACTATTATAAAAATAAAAATTAATCTTTCCATCCCACAAAATCGTTTAACT